GATCTGCCACCCACCAGCTGAGGATGCAGGGAGGAGGCAGCTGAGACCAAGCCCATGGACCCGAGGCCCAGGAGGGTGACCTAAATCCCAGAGCAGAGGAGGTCCCATGAGAGGTCTCAGCTCAAGGAGTGAGGCAGGGCAGCAAGGAGGAAACTCTTTCCTCTGTCCTCTGTTCTCCCGGCAGGCCTGGCAGCATGCATGAAGTGACCAAATTGTGGTGGTGGCCCGGCACTAAAGGGTGGGTAGGGCTGGAGGAAGTAAGGCTGGCTGTGAAAGAGCAAGTAAAGAAGACTCTGTGGTGACTGAAATGCTCATCACGTTCACAGGGTCAAGGCCTGGCGGTGACAGTGTGCCATAACTTGGAGAGATATCACCCCTGGGGAAAGCAGGGGAAAGCACACTGAGTGCTCTGTGTTGTTTCTTACAACTGCGTGAGAACCCACAGTCATTTCAAGATTAAAAATTTAATTTCCAAGAGGCACAGTGGAATTACCTTAGGAAAAGATTTGCAAAGCTGTGCATATAAAAATATTATTATTATTTTACATCTCAGGATTGCACTTGTTCATGCTGCTATCTTTTTTATTTTTATTAGTGCATGTTGGCAGTATGCAATGATTACATTCCTCTTGGAGAGCTGGTTTCTGTACATAACACACCTTAATTCTCTTTATGTCTCCCTCCTCTTCTCTCCCTACATCTCTTAAATAAGGATACACCATGCACTTCAAGAGAAATATTTCTAATTTTCAAGATGGCAGTTATCTCCCAAAAGAGTTGGATAACTGGGATCCAGTTCATGCTATTTGAAGGTGCCAATGAGGTAATTCCAAAACATATCCAGAAGAGTAAAAGGTCAAGAGTAGCTGAGAAACTCCCGAAGAACAACAGAGTGAGGACACCTGCCTGGCCATATTTCAGGAAGTCTGAAAGTACAGTAACTGAGCAGCCATAGACCAGAGCAACCCAGAAACACACCCACACCTGCACACACACCAGAGCAACAGGATGCACACCTGGGAAAAGGGCCAGTCTGGTCAATCGGGGGTGGGAATAATGGATCATTCATATGGAAAAATGGGAATTGTTTCCTTACCCTGTGCTTTAAAAGCTCAGATATACAAGAGCTGAAGAATAGAAAGAAAAATATTTTCTTAGGATATTAACTTTATGAGTAGGATAGGGTAGTGTCTTTGTGGTCTCAAGTTGGAAAATAATTTCTTTTTTTATTTTATTTTTTTCAAGTATGCAATAAATATAAGTTTAATAGTATAAATCAACAGGGGAAAAGAAATAAGAAGCAGCCAATATTTGATTTTCATCCTTATCACTTTTTCTAGGGCCCCTCTAATTTGATGTAAACTTACAGTTTCCAAGGAAATTCCTATTCCACCCATTTTACCATAAGTAAATTGAATAGTTTTTCTGTTTGTATGATAAAACAGGAAAGGCTGTTACATTTGGAATGGAAAAGGCACTCCATTTGTGATTAATGTCACACAAAATCACATTCCCATCAGAAAACACAAACATCAATATCACAAAACTAAAAATATATGGGAGATCAATACCATTCAATAAATATGCAAGCTACTTCAGTCTCCCCCCAAAAGGACCAATACTTCAAAAAACCATAAAGGAAACCCCTGTCCATTTCCAAGTGACCCAAGTAGAAGAGACAGCAAGATGCTATGCGTGCTACTTTACCCCTCCCCTGGCCTTCACTACTTAGAAAACTGCCTGCTCTTCACAAAGACTGAAAATGGGCCTCATTTCTTCTCGGGGGAGAACAAACTCACTGACACCCTTGTGCAATATCCCCTGTTTCTCAGGAACCCTGGCTTTATACCTAGTTTTGCTTCCAAAGCCTCTTCATATAGTTCTGGGTAAGACTTGGGATCTGCTCCATTAAGATGGGCCATATGAACTAGGAGTTTGTTTCATCTTGCTGGTTTCAGTGTGGGTCCTTGGACCCCACAGGAACTCATTCCAAGCAGGATCACTGTTAGGAATCTACCGGTACATCAGGTACTCTTCCTGTACTAAATCCTCAGTGATGAATTTTCAGGCTTCCTCAAAATGAATATGCTTGGAGTGAGTTAACATGACCCATCTTTCCACTTTTTTGGTTAGGTCCTCCTCACTGATATGGTTGCCCTCTATGAAGATTAGAGGCAGGACTGATATAATGATGTCGATTTTGAGATTGATTCTTTCATCATCCCCATCTAGCATCCCACTGTATGTAAGATCCAAAATGGGGACTAACTCATATGTATTGCCAGAGTAATTCACTTTCCTGATTTTAATGCCAAAGCCCAGATACATGGACTCACAGAGTTCCCAAAAGTTCAGAGGGAAGTTGTTACAGTAATCATGGGGCAGAACATGCAGCATTTCTTTCATGGTGACCTGCTCCTTCTTTTAATACTTGTGGAGCAGAAGAAATGACACCAACATACATAACTTGGCATTCAGGAGCACATTTTGCAGGATGTGAGAGAAGTGTGCATCCTGCAAGGAGCTTGAACCCTCACAGGATTGACTCCTTTGACTAGAAGCCATGAGGACAGCAAGAACTTGTTGAGGACCAGAAGCCTTCACATCTCCAGTGCTGGAAAATAGAGTGCTGAGCAGTAGCAATTCAGCTGCTCCAAGAATCCAAACCCAGATTTTGAAAAATCACAAGTGAGAATTCTCCACTGCACAGTGCAAGGCTAGGAACAGAGGCAGGAATGGGTTATTTTCAGAGTCTCAACCTGGAATGTGGCCTTCTCTCTCACCCTCAGCCTGGAAAATAATTTCTTGAACAAAGGCTAACTGTAAAGGAAAATATTGTAAATTATGACTAAATTAAAATTGAGAACTTCTGTCTATGAAAACACATAATAGAGTGAAAAGAAATATAAAAACTGAAAGAAGCTGTTTTCCACACTTAGGCACAGCAAGATTAGCATCTAAAATACACAAATACTTTCACGAAGAGTCAAAAAACAAATATCAACAACTGAATTTTATTTTATTGTTTTTATTACTTTTTGGTACCAGGGATTGAACTCGGGACCTTGTTCTTGCGAGGCAGGTGTGGTGCCACTGAGCCAAATCCCTGGCCAACAACTGAATTTTAAAAGAGCACCTTATGAAAAGTGTCTCTTACCGAAGAAGTGTGAGGTTGGTCAACAGATGTACATAAAATACTTAATGTCATTAGTCATCAAAGAAATGAGGATACAATCCGAATGAAGTACTGCTTCATCTTACCACGTTAGCAAGAATAAAAAGTCTAATAATACAAGGTGTTGGTGAAGATATGCAGCAATAAGAACTCATGCATGCTATTGGTAGGATAGTAAAATGGGTAAAAACCCCTTGGAAATTGGAAACCGAAAAGCGATGGATATTGAGTAAAAATGCAGCTAAGCTGAGCACATGCCCCTGCTCCTAGCACATTCTCTGCATCAAGAGACAAGTTCAAGAATGTTCACAGAAGCACTGTTTTCTCTAGCAGATCTGGAGTTGATGCACACATCCCTCAAAAGGCTGTGCATCAACACAGACCTTCAGCTACACAAACACATAATGCTGATTTTGAAAGGGGAAGCATAAGGGAAGAAGGCATCAAAGAATGACTTCACTTTTCCATAAAGGATTAAAGCAGGTAAAGTACAAAGAAAAAGCAAGAGCAAGAGTAAGATGAACACTTAGGATAGAAGAAACCCTGAATAGCGGGGCAGGTAGGAGATGCTTTTGGAGTCAGTCCCACCAGAGTTTAAAGACTGTTGCTTGTTCTTTTATTTGTTAAAATGCAAGACACTTCATCATTGTTTTAATGGCACATACATTGCATGTGTGCCCTTTCAGATAGGTGAGACCACCCTAAAGCACATAATGTTTTCACAGCAGGCAAGGAGGTGCCGAAGGTCCTGCGCAGTGGCCAGGCAGGTGGCAGGGACGGTGCAGAGGAGGCGCAGGCCCAGCTGAGGACAGGGGCCAGAGGACAGGTGTGGGGGTGGGGGTGGGAGGCTTGGATATCAGAGTAGAAAGGGAGGAGGCAACGCAAGATGAGGGAAGAGGTGGAGGGAGGGGCGGGAGAGGCCTTCCTGGAAGCCAGTAAGGTGCGGGGCCCCAGCCCCCTGCCCCGCCTGGCCCTAAACTGCTGGAAGACCTTGAATACCTCCCGCATCTCTCCACTCCACAGCTTCGGGTCTAGGACAAAGTGCAGGAGTCCCTGGCCACCGCCCTCACAGGTTGTTCCCAGGCTTCGCGTAAGTCCTGGGAGAGCCACCTTCAGGAGGGACCAGGTAACACTCACAGAGACCCTCAGAGTGTGGAGTGCGCCCTTGGAGTTGGACAAGCCGCCACCTGCCTTCCAGCCTGGGGTGTCTACACAGTTCCAGGCCCCTCTGCTGCTCCCCTTATTTCAGCTGTGGCATCTGCAAGGCTTGGCTCGAAAGAGTACCAGTTGTGAAGGTTGTGCACTGTGCAATCTTACAAGATGCCACCCACAGCCTGGCCATGTTAGAGTTCACTGTGTCCTGCCCTATAGGACATTGAATTCTCATTCAATTCTTGAGTTCTGTAATCCTTATTTTGTAGACAAGAAAACTCAGGCTTCAAGAGACACCGACTTGCCCAAGCCACAGGGTGAAGCTAGGTTCTAAACTTCGTTCTGCCTAGTTCCAGAGCCAGGCACACAGTGGACACTGGATGCAGAGTTGGCACAGAAAGCTGAGTCCTCCTCCTCTCCTAGAGCCTAGTCCCCAGGCTCCGGAGCAAAGCACGACAGCCCCAGGAAAGCGCCTGGAGGGCCGGGGTCCTCTGCACAGAGCGGGGCGCCGACACGGAGGCAGTCCGTCTGGCGGCTGGCTGTTGTAACCACCCCAGCCCTCAGTTTCCCCGCGTGGCCCACGCAGATAGAGGACAGCGGTTCGCACTCCAGGGTCCCGGCACTCCCCGCCCCGGGGCTGGGGCTGCAGAGGTCACGTGGGAGGCCGCGGAGCCCCGCCCCGCAGGCCCCGCCCCTCCCCCTGTAGCCGGAGCCCAGCAGCAGCCTCGGTACCGCGCGGGCTCGCGACGCCGCCACGCCGGGGCTGGTGAGGACTGCGCGGGGGTCCAGGGTCGCCTGCTCGCTGCTCTGCCCGCACCCGTCCGGGGGTGTAGACAGCTGGACCAGCTCCAGCGGCAGCGAGGACTCGAGCGCGGACGGCGGCCCGAGCAGCAGCGACACCATGGATCTCTCTTTTATGGCCGCACAGGTAACGGGGGACGCCTTCCGCACGCGCCCTGCTCCCCGAGTTTGAGGAGGCTCGGGGGTCCCCGCCTCGCCCTCCTGGCCAGGTCTGCGCTCGGCGCCCGCCCGGATCTGCGTCCTGGTCCTTTGTCCTGAGCCGGGCGGCCCCACCTGTGCACGCGCCCGGGGCGGCGGGCTCAGCCCTCCTGGGTGGGGCGCGGGGCTCCCTGGCACCCCGTGTGCGGGCCCCCCAGGAGCAGAAGGCTTCGAGGAAGCGGGGCAGCCTCAGGCACCGCCTCCTCCCCACCCCCACAGCTCCCCCCACCCCCACACGGAGCCATGCTGGCGAGGCGCGGCCCGGGTGGGTGGGCCACCGCGCCGTCCCAGGCCCTGTGTTGCGCGGGTTATCTGTGGCTTGCTGGTGACCTCGGGCGCGCCTCCTCCCCAGTGAGCGGGGTCTGTACCCCCTGCTGCCTGAGGGAGGCTGCGGGAGCGGCTTTGTGACCTGACAAGCGGTCCAAGCCCGGCGATCATTTTATCCATTTTTGCTCTGCTCAGGCTCTAATGGCCATCAGTGCCCGGCAGGACCACAGTCCCCTGCGTGCAAACAGGCTGCTGGGGCAGGGAAAACAAAGGACCCCCTCCACCAGCTCAGCTAGTCCTGCAGAATCCCCTCGGGCTCCCAGCTCTCCTGGGTAGTGCATTTCTGCCCTCAACTCTCTGGAGCCAGAACCCCCTTCTGGAGCGGCATGTGGCTCCTGGGGACCCTCAGTGCGACCACAGGCTGGCTCCAGGGACAGGAGGTTGGGGACGGAAAGCTCTGTCTACCAATCAGACCTTGCACCTCCTGTGGTTGTGTTGGTTGCTTTGGGGGCCAAAGGGCAGGGAGGCCACCCAGGCCCCCTTCTGCCCCCCGGGTGTATGGCAGGAACCCCACCTGTTGCTTTTTGCTTCCACTGGAAGGACGTTTGAGGGGACACTTTCCTTTGCCCCAACTTCACCTGTGGTGGGAGCCTGTTCAGAATGTACTGGCAAAATCCAGGTTGTATGTGGATGCGGGGTCCCAGGTCCCAGCACGAAGGCTACGGAGCACACAGTCCCCAGGTCAGCCCTGGGGAATCCAGATCCCTTTGTCTGCCCCTTAACAAGTTTTCCAAATGCTAATTGCTCTTAGCAGTATTGCTCCTCCTTTTTCTGCCTGATCCTCCATCTCCTGTTCCTGAACCCAGGCTGGTAAATATTGTCATGTAGAAAAACAGCCATCACTCTTGCAGATAGAAATGGCTTTAGCTATGTGATAAATGAGTAAGTTTTCTGGGGGGGATTTATTTCCAGGGGGGAGAGGAGCTTACAGGGTGTCCAAGGTGTCTGTGGCTGCCTTCCCCTCTGGACACCCACCCCTGGGTTTCCATGGTTACAAGATAATTTGATCCTTGATCCTGGAGCACCAACAGTTGCTATGGTGACTTGACAAAATAAACACAGGCCTTTTCAGCACCTGTAGGCAACACCTGCAGAGAGACTGAATTCTTTTATTATTATTATTATTATTATTATTATTATTATTATTATTTACAATTCACATTCAATTGGCCAAATTTTTCCTGCTAACAGATGTTTGGCATTGATTACATGCTCAGTATTGGGCTAGCTGCAAGGAGCAGAAATATGAAGATCACACTGGTGAAAGACGTGCTTAGGTTTGTTGAGCACCTGCTTCATGCCAGATGCAGGGCACTTGGCACACTTTACTGCCCTAAACCCTTGCCAGTCTGTAAGGTGGGTGCCAGACTTCAACAGGATTAAGTAATTTACCCCAGGACACTGTTAGTAAGGAGAGCTGGTAGCAGCTCTAGGCCTGTGTATCTAGCTCTCTACTCAGCAGTTCTGCATCTCCACCTTACTGATGGGGCAGCACAGTTCAAGATGACTCATTTCTTCCCCTCCACCCAGAAGTGGTCTTGATATAGGAGAAATGTGACTCTGTCCCTCCTAGATGTCAGATGTGCCCAATTCGTATCTCCTGAAATCAAAGAATGAACTCTAAGGAACAACGGGGGTTAAGAGTAGGAAAGATTTAGGGCTGGGGATTTAGCTCAGTGGTTCTGGCACCTGCCTCGAAAGCACAAGGTCCCGAGTTTGATCCCCGGTACCAAAAAAAAACAAAAACAAAACAAGAGTAGGAAAGATTTATTGAGCAACAGCTCCTGGATTTCCAGGAAGGGTCCCAAGTGGATGGCCCCCCGAGGTCCTTTGTCAGGGGTAATTTATACAGGAAAGTCACAGTGTGGGTTCAGCGTGGTCAAACGGTAAGCAACCTGTAGGATCACAAGTACAGCCACTTAGCTAATACTGATCCTCTAGGGGAGTGGGTCACATGGCAAGGGTGCATGGAAAGAACAAAGGCATTTCTGGGAACGGATTGGTCTGCATGCTCTGGTCAACCACCTCAGTGACCAATGCCTATCTGGACTTCCTGGAGCAGGTGGTGCTAATTGCAACATAATTCCAAGGGATAATGCCTTATCCCTCAGGGAGGCTTGCAGGGCTGGCCTGGTCTTCCTCAGATGTGCCTCCAGCCGCAGTTCTGATCTCTTTATTTTTTCTGCTGACTTCCTTGAGAGCCCAGGCCCTCTCTGACTGTGTGTTTATTTCTGTCTAACTTAGCTGCCTAGAATAGTCTCACCATGGTGCCTCTTGAGGGCCCCGGGCTCTGGGCGGTGGATGGCTCTCCAGTGTGGGTCTGTCTCGCTTGTCCCCACCGGTATGGGACTTTGCAGTGCTTTGCCCCAGTGTGTACTCGCTCTCCACTCAGGTGTGTGCAGTGAACACCAGGGCTGAGTGGCCATCACTGTCCCCACGCACAGTCTTACGTCCACACGTCCATGCGCTCCCCACTTCCTCGGTGCCGCTTACCTGCCTGTGTCAAGCTTTTACCCAGGCACCAGGACAGGGACTTAGGCCCGAGGCTGAAAGGGACACAGGTTTTCTTTCCAGTGCTCACAGATGTTGGACAAATGATGGGTCAGGGCGGAGCACAGCAAGGGCAATGGGCCGAGTGCTGGGTGGGGAACATGCCTGGCACAAAGTGGATCCTCCACAGACGGGTGGATGAGGACCAGATGGGGTGTGTGTCCAGGGAAAGAGGGAATGCGAAGTGTCAAATGTGAATGCCTGTCATCCCAAGAACTCTGGAATGGGGCTGGGATGGATTAAAACTCTAGGCAGATTTCCTTGGTGGTCCTGCAAATGAGTATTCTAGGCAGAGAGACAGGGAGGTAGGGAAGCCCAGGAGATACTGAGTTCTCCAAAGAGCTAGAGGGTAAGGGACACAGTGGGGCTGAGAGGGAGAGGCTGGGGTAGGTTATAGAAGTGCACATTTGATGAGAAGTTCACATTTAATCAGGGGGCAGTGGGAGCCATGGTGGGTTATTGAGCAGGGGAATGGCATATAGTTGAAGCAGTGCCTTGGAAAAACCTCCACCTCTGTACAGGGTGGAAGCTGCAGGAATGGGTGGGGTCAGGAATGCACATTTGTGTGTTGACTGATGAAGTGAAGGAAACCAGACTTGTGTGACTGCAAAGCTGGAGCTCTCCTTCACTGTGGTAAGTACGATTCCTGTTTGTGGCTTACGACCCTCAGCACAAAGCCACTTTAGGAAGATTTGCGTCTCCCGTGCTGAACGTTTAAAAGATATCCTCCATGGATGTGCTGGGGATGACATCAGCGGCCCTACAGACCCTTGTGCACAGCTGGCTCCCTCGCTCTAGAGGGCTTGGGAGAAGCTGCTGCCCCCGAAGGTGTGAAGACCGGGTGCTCAGCCACTTTTCCCAGCACCCCAGAAACACCCCCGGCCCCACCTGCTGCTCCAGGCACAATCCAGGTGGACTGGAGCTGGGCTTCAGTGCTGCTGCTGTAGGGTCCACGCTGAGGCCGGGAGCAGGAACCCAGCGAGCGTTGCTCCCCGCTTCCTCTCAGCTACATGAAACAGGTCCTGGGCTCTGTGGTCTGTCCTCAGCCACAAAAAGTCATCTGGCCACAGGAAGTCACTAAACACAACATTGATTCAGCAACTTAAAGTACAAGCCGAGAAAATACAACCTGGGGACTTGCTAAATGAAGGTTCCCCTCCACCAGACCGTCTGGGCTGCAGGCAGGAGCCTGCAGGGGGCAGGTGCCTTGTAATCCCGACTCAAATGTGGAGGAAGTGGAAAGCAGGTGCTGTACTGCCTCAAGGACAGAGCACGGAGCTGTCCCTCCATCCCATTCAGTGAGCAAGGACCCTCCACAAGTCAGGTCCCAGGAATCACAGTCCGCTCATGTTGTGTTTGGGACATGAAAAAAAAGAATTTATCTCATCCCCTCAAGCCCCCTCCCCTCCCCATATACAGAAACTTTGTTTCCGTTTTTTCCTTCTGTTTTCATTTTTTTTCTTGTCCCTTCCTTCCTTTCTCCCTCTCTCCTCCCTTGTTCCCCTCCCATCTGAACACTTTCTTCCCATTTCCCAACATCCATCATACATCTCAGTCCTTATTTCTGTTTTGGACATTTTAAAGCAAATTCTTAAAGTACTTCCTGTAGGTTTCCAAGGGGTGCTGTGACAACTGACCACAAGCCAGGGGGCCTAAGACAGCAGAATTGTGTCTTCTCACTGTCCTGGGAGCCAGAGGTCCACACTGTAGGGCTAGGGCCTCCGTGCAGCCCTGGGAATGAATGCGTTGACGAGTTGCTCAGGTTTCTGCCACAATGATCAATCACATGGCCCTGTGTCTGTATCTCCTCTTCTGAGGACACCAGACTTACTGGCTTAAGGCCCACCTGCGTGACCTCATCTTAATGACATTCTACAGAGACTATTTCCAAATAAGGTCACGTTCAAAGGTACTGGAGTTAGGACACCGATATATCTTTTGAAGGGACACAATTCAACACGTAATAGAATCTGAAGACCACAAAGGATAAGCGCATTGGCTCTTGTGTTCCTGGCGACTGGTCTTAAGAGGTGCGTCGAGGCAGATCACTTC